GAGGCACAGTGACAACCTTAGGCTGCAGAAATAGTTATTTTGGTCAGAGAAGTGATGGTATGTGCTCACATCTACACAGGTGGACAGACTACGACTTCTGTTTAGTGGCTCTTTGCATTTGACAGTGTGACCTTTGTTTCTGTGTGCCATAGATAACTCCAAGTTGAAGTCTATCCATGGAATTGTGACCCATCTTTGTTCCGACTATGGCTGGATTAATGAATCTATCTTTTTCAATACTGACGTGGTATGTGGTAAGATCTCAGTGAACGTTGGGACAAATGTTATTGCTCTTGTGGAAGAAAACGAAACAACTCATGTACTGAAAGCAATCAAGGTATGACAGAGTTTACCCACGGTTTCTGTTGCTGTGATAAAATATCATGATAAGAACAAATTAAGGAAGTGTGTTTATTTGGGCTTATGGTTCTAGAAGATGAGTCATCATGGCACGGAGGTATGATGGTAGCAAGCAGCAGGTATGGTGACAGAAGCAGGGAGCTGAGAGCTCACCTCTTCACATGCAGTCTTAAAGCACAGAGACACAACTAGAAATGTTGACAGTCTTTCAATTTTCGGACTTCTTCTAATAAACACCTCCTAAACTTCCCCAAACAGTCTCTCCATCTGGTAACCAAGTGTTCAAACATCTAGCTTTTTGGGGACATTCTCCTTCAAACTACTATATTTGATGGGAGTGGTGGTACATGGCATTAGTCATTGGACTCAGGAAGCAGAGGCAGGAAATTTTCTGAGTTCAAGGCCAACCTAGTCTATATAGTGATTTCCAGGCCAGCCAGAGTTGCATGGTGAAAACCCATTTTTAAAAAACTTTCAGACAATAGAAAGGAGAAGTGGATGGAAGGGAGTAATAGAGAGGGGAAGAGAGAGGGAATGAAAGCTGCATTCAAGATGTAATCTATGAGAGGAAAAAAGAAAAATGTCATACTATTATGCATTTTAGTAACACAACGATCAAATTACATTGTAAATATAAATAAAAATAAAAGATGTACAGTTTCTTGCTGAAAGTAGCTAAAAGTTTCCTTGCTTTCTTTTTTAAGAGTATAAACTCAATAACCTTAAAACTTTTATATATAAATAAAATTTTAATCAAAAAAAGATTCAGACAATGTTGATGTATAGTCAAGTTAACATCACACTTCTCTGAGCTTAGTAGATTTGATGTTACAACATTTGAATGCAATGATGCTTATTCTGTTTCTATATATTGTCAGATCTCTTCATATTTGAACGTGTAAATGATTCTGTGTAATCCTGCATCTTATATCATATAGTGACAAGCCATTTTCTATTCAGTATCCAAACAAGCAGAATTAGTATGACAAAGACTGTATTGTTCATGCTCACTTCTATGCCAGTTAAAGTATATGTATTCATTTACTTCAATTTTTTAGATTTAGTTTTATTATTTTATGTGTATGAGTGTTTTGCCTGCATGTGCATCTGTGTACCACATGTGTTCCTGATGTTTGAGGATGTGGTAAGCCTCCATATGGGTTCACTTCCGTTCAGCTATTGACACATTGAGGCTATTGTCAAATTCTTCTCAGTTATGCTTTTCCAACTGAGACTCTCAACAGCAGGCCACAGAAGATCCCTTATACTGGCATACTATTATTATTATAAAATCATGGTAAAACTGAAAACAGAGTAGCAAGGTCCCCATCTTGTTTTGAATTTTTGAACTCTTAATCTTAAAGTTATAATTTGTACTGCTTATTCTTCTCACACAGTAGATCCACCATAAGTCTTTCCACATTGGTAAAAATATATTTATTAGGAAAATAGGCTGTGTTCTCTCAGTAATTTTTCTAAAACTCTCAGTGTTTTGTTTTCCCAATGTTTTAAAAATATCAATTATGTCATTGGTGCACTCTGTTAGGAACACAGGCCAACACTCTTGTGTTTTTTACAATGTCAGAATTTATTGAATAACAATAAATTCATAAGACACAGTGGTTTCAATGGCAGCACTTTGCAAGAAAATCCTGCTTATTTTGGTAATCTGGACAAGATTGCACAGGCTTTTTTCTTAATTTTAATCTTAATTACTATTCCCAGTTCTCATATAATACACCACAGTCGATGGGACGGGGTGGGGCTGGGGGAACTGTGTGGCTGGTGGGTCCCGGGCCCCGGGGGGAACTGGGGGGGGGGGGGTGCCCCTGTCTGCAGCCATCCATGGGAAATGGTTACCACGGCTGCAATGCAGAAATACCCCAACCCCATGAATCCCAGTGTAGTGGGCGTTGACGTGCTGGACAGACATGTGGATCCCTCTGGAAAGCTGCACAGCTATAGACACCTCAGCAGAGTGGGGCCTGCCTTCCATTGTGAAGTCTCTCATTGGTGCAGCGAGAACAAAAACGTATGTGCAGGAGCACTCTGTGGTCCACCCGGTAAAGAAGACAATGGAGCTCAAGTCTACCAACATCTCATTTACAAATATGGTCTCAGTAGACGAGAGGCTCACATGCAAGCAAAACCCCCAGGACCCAGAGAAAACTGTCCTGACCGGGAAGCCATCATCACCGTGAAAGGAGTCAGCCTCAGCAGCTTCCTTGAAGGACTCATGGCAAGCACCACATCTTCCAACGCTAACAAAGGCCGAGATGCAATGGAATGGGTGATCCATAAACTAAACGCCGAGGTTGAAGACTTGGCAGCATCAGCAAGAGGAAGCAGACGGACGCCGATGGCAGCCTGGCAGCCTTGGGGGAAAAATGACAGTGGAGATGGGTGTGCAGCTACAGGGCCCCGGGACTCTGCAAGCTGACATCATATTTATTTGTTATTTAAAAGATACGGCTATTTTAGGTAGAATTTATTATTATTATTATTATTATTATTATTATCATTATCATTATTTTTTTAATTAGCTGGGGTAAGGCTGTGACTTTTGATCAAAACAAAAGATGGAGAGTTTCTAAATCAAAGTGATTGTCTGCAGCTGAGGCAGTTGCCCGCTGCTGTGAACTGGAACCACCTGCCCGAGGAACTCACTTTAAAAAGAGAAACTGTATAATGTCAAATGCCATTAATTTGTATAAAATAACTTGCCCTCTTGGAAACCAGTGTTTGGATTTGGTACTTAAATGATATTTTTGAAGTGCAAATTAGCGCTAAGTTGATACATGACTCCAGCAAAAAAAAATAGTATTTTATTGTATTAACGGGTACTGTATTAATTTGCCAAAGTTTTGTGACTTAGTAAAGGCATTCCTTTCCTTGAATTTGTACTTTGTGACTTCACATGCTGTACTGTGGGCTGGTTATGTTAACTGAAAAAATAAAGTCATTACCTGAATGTCGTATCACTCTTAAACAGAAAAAAATACACCACAGTCAATATGTAAATACACAAAAAATGCAGGTTACATAATGAATACAAATGGTTAAAGAGGCTACAGCACAGTTTCATGAGTTTTTAAGAGGCATGAAAAAATGTAAATAGAGTAGGGTCCCAAAAGCCAGCAAAGGAGTCAGAGACAGCCCCTGTTCCCATTGTTAAGAGCCCCACAAGAAGATCAAGCTACACAACTGTCACATATATGCTGAGTGCCTAGGTCAGTCCCTTGCAGGCTCCATGGTTGTCGGTTCAATCTCTGTGAGCTCCTATGAGTCAAGGTTAGATGATTCTGTGAGTTTTCTTTCGGTATCCTTGACCCCTCTGGCTCCTACTATCCTTCCTCCCCCTCTGCAGGATTCCCTGAGCTCCGCCTAATGTTTGGCTGTGGGTCTCTGCATCTGTTTCCATCAGTTGCTGGATGAAGCCTCTCTGATGACAATTGGACTAGGCACCAAACTGGTCACAGGAGATGGCCAGTTCAGATTACTTAACTGCTAATGCTAGGAGTCATTCTTGTAAATTCCTGGGAGATTCCCTTGTGCCAGGTTTTTACCTGACCCTGAAATGCCCCTACATCCCACTCTGGCTTCCCAATAGTCTCTTTCAATGTAAATGTACCACATTTTCTTTATCCATTCCTTGGTTGAGGGACATCTAGTTTCCTTCCAGTTTCTGTCTATTACAAATAAAGATGCTATGAATATGATTGAGCAAGTGTACTTGTGGTAGGACGGAAAATCCTTTGGGTGTATGCTCAAAAGTGATATAGATTGGTCTTGAGGTAGATGGAATCCCAGTTTTCTAAGAAACCGCCACACTGACTTCCAAAGTGGCTGTAAAATTTGCACTCCCACCACCAGTGGAGGAGTGTTCCCCTTGCTTCACATCCTCTTCAGCATAAACTGTTGCCTGTTTTTTTGGTCTTAGCCATTCTGACAGGTGCAAGATAGAATTTCAGGGTCGTTTTGATTTGCATTTCCCTGATGGCTAAGGATGTTGAACATCTTAAGTGTTTCCCGGCCATTTGAAATTCTTCTGTTGTGAATTCTCTATTTAGACCTGTACCCCATTTTTTTTAATTGGGTGATTATGTGGTTTGTTGATATCTAGTTTCTTGAGTTCTTTACATATTTTGGAAAACAGCCAGCCCTCTGTCAGATGTGGGGTTGGTAAAGATCTTTTCCCATTCTGTAGGCTGCAGTTTTGTCCTATTGGTGGTGTCCTTTGCCTTACAGAAACTTTTAAATTTCATAAGATCCCATTTATTAATTGTTTTTCTAGGTGCCTGCATGATCGGTGTTCTGTTCAGGGAACTGTCTCCTGTGCTGATACATTCGAGATTTTTTTTTCCTACTTTCTCTTCTGATGCCTTGCCCAGCCTTAATACATGGGGAGGTGCTTAGTCTTACTGCAACTTGATATGCCTTGTTTTGTTGACCTGTCCTTTCATAAACAAATGGAGGAGGAGTGGATTGGGGGGTGGGAACAGAGGGAGTGGGGGAGGCACTGGGAGGAGAGAAGGGAGGGGAAACTGCAGCCAGGATGTAAAATAAATAAAAAGGTAGATAAATTTATTTTTAGAAAATATAAACAATAATGTAAAAACAGTCTTTACCGATAAGATTAGAGACTGAACCAGGCTGTAGTGAAGGAGCTGCTTCTGGAGAGTCAGGTATTGTGGACCAGTGAGTTTTCATCAAAAACACAGTGTCCAGAGGCAGAAGCAAAAAAGCAGGACTTTCTCCAAGTTCAAGAATGGGTGAACTGATTGAATGAGGGTCACAGGGTAATCAGGTGGGCTGGAAAGGAAGATATGTAGGCATTATCAACAGCAAGTACTGAGCTCAGCTGAAGATGAAGGGACTTCCTCTGTTTTCCATGTTAGGCCTTGGCTAACGCGTCAAGTGTCAGATAATAGGTCATTGTTATCAAAGTGATAGGTGTCCACTTTTGATGTAGTTCAAATGGAGGGAGCTGTACCTTTGCCTTGGTCTGGTGTATGTGATAATTGTTAGGCCTGCTTTTCCTTTCAATCTCTTCTGATGGGGGTTATTTCTCCCATGTCATCTTCTACATCTGCACATGGGTCAAGTCAGGGAATAACATGCTCTCTTCTTTCTTGTTCCCCAAAGTTGTGCTGCTCATTCTTCTCCCTGTCGACTATATTCTGTTCCACTCCCATGTCCCAGGTAACTCATTTCTCTTCCTTCACACACACCAAAAAGCACATTTCCTCAAATTACTCCACTGTCACTCAGTCTAAAAAATTTCTGTGTAAATGTGCAAAAATGTGGGGTGGAGAGATGGCTCAGAGGGTAAGAGCACTGACTGCTCTTCCAGAGGTCCTGAGTTCAATTCCCAGCAACCACATGGTGGCTCACAACCATCCCTTATGAGATCTGGTGCCCTCTTCTGGTGTGCAGATACACCTGGAAGCAGAATGTTGTATACATAATAAATAAAATCTTTAAAAAACATGTGCAAAAAATGTTTTCTAATTAGAGTTACAGCCATGAGTAAAACTTATTTAGAAGTAAGTTTTAAAAATAGTTAACACTAGTGGATTTTTGAATTCCTGGAAAGCAAGAGCACTATATTTCTAAGATCAGAAGGTAAGTAGTGAGAGCATTCAAGGCATTTGTCAATCCATAGAGCAAGCACAGCCACAATTGATGCCATCACCTCAGGTCTGTGATGCATCTTTAATGGAAATGTATTGTCTAGGTTTGAGAACAGTTGTTTAAAAGATTTCTGCTACAGGAGGGCTATTTTGGCACAAATAATGAAGCAGCAACGTTACAACTATGCTAGGTCAACTCATTAAAATGCTGTTTTTTGATGGGGAATTGTGGTAAGTATAAAAATTTCTGCCTGTAAGTTTTATTTTACTTTAAGCCACTGTCTCCTTCTCTTATAGGTGAAAGCCATGAATAATTCTGTTGGCGGTACTGAGGCATCAGACCTTGATAGAGAACTTTGTATTTCTTGTGTCACCTCAGTAACACAGGACAACGTCTATATCAGTCAGGAAACTTTTTTCCCTGTCCAGCTGTTTTCGGGAGGTAAGATTTATAGTCTTTAAAAGCATAGATGAAGAGTGTGGGAAGTGTCCTTGAAACTGAAAGTAAGGTACAATAAAGGGGAAAATGGGAAATACTTTAAATATTGCCTAGCGATCCTGTCCCCCGTGAATGCTGTCATCGTGTACCCATGAGGGTTTCACTATTGATTTCTTTGCCTGTTTTGTTTTCATATAGGGTTCCTCAAACTTACTTGAAACTCACTATGTATCTGAGGACTGTTCATGACCTTAGGAAATCTATCCCTTACCCTTCTGAGTGCTGGGAGCATAAACTTTGTGCATGCATCAGGGTACATGGAAAGTAGAGTCAGTGACAGAGTCACACAAGTACAAGAGTTTATCTTGAAAATGCCTCCATCACTTCAAAGCAAAGGTGCAGATAGGTCTCTCTCCTTCTGTCCTCTTTCCAGAATATTCAACAGATAGATTCTCATATTTTGTCCCTAGCCTAGCTACCGAGGTTCAAGCATGTGATCCTATTGTGTACCTGCCTGCCACCACCAAAGGAGATACCAAAATGTCCACTTGATGAGAAAATAAGGTGCTCCTAGCCAAAACTTTCCCAACTATCCCTCTGAGACACGTAGTTATTAGTTATCCATGTCTGATGAATAAATCATTGTAGAAGAACCAGTGTTTAAAGGGCTTTAGTCTCCCTTCCTGTAAGAAGATATTTGAGATATCTGTCCAGTGCAAGTATTTACAGTCAGGATATGTTGGTCAGCACATTGCAGAGATGAAGGGTCTTAGGTAACGTGACATGACCTGAGTGCAATAATATTTACACTGCTAATTTTCTTGGCTGTTTTAGAATTTAAGCCTTTCAAAGGAGACTTGTTGCTGGTTGAGTATTCCATGAAGCCGGGAACCTCAAACATGAGCATTCACTCTGTGAGCCCCCTGAACTCACAGAGTATCAGAGAGGTAATATGCTTCCATGTTGCCTTTGTCATGGGTACTGATCGCTTTTTTAGCCCAGGACTTTGTTTGGTATGTCTGGCAGTATATCCCCTGCCAAAGTGGACACATTCACTGATTGAAAAGGAAATTAGCAGAAAATAATGTAGAATACACACATACTTAATTCCTAGGTTGTGTGTTTTACTTGACATTAGGATGTTCTGTGGACAACAGTTACAAAGTGTCTTAGCTCTGAGGCAATTGTGGGGAAACTAAGTGCCCTGGGTTTGAGGTGTTCAATCTGCTGATGAGGAGGGAGGTGGGGTGGGGAAGGGGGTGGAGTAAGACCTTGGTTAGTACAGCCTGAGAATGAGATGTGAAGCCAGGGAGGTAGCGGGTGAAGCATGCAGGGTTCATCCTCTTATCAGTAGCCCAGGGCTCATCTTGTTTCTCTGCTTTAATAGGAGAGGGGTAGAACGGTGACTCAGATGTATCGACTCACTTTCCCTGTGTGTCCAGGATGAGAATCAGTGATGGGGTGGGGGACCTGCTGTTTACAGCCAAGGGGTTGTTGAGGGCCATCTGTGGTGGGTTCTGCTTCTCCATACTCACTGCCTTCATTTCCCTTCATAGGTCTGTGTGACCAGCGTTGATGGAAGAACTGGTGTGGTGGATGACATCATCTATTTCACTTTGGATTCCCTCCAGAAGCCTACTGGTTATACACCCGGGCTCTATGACATTGTGAATGTGGTTGCTGTGGACAGTGTTCAGCAGCACTGTTCTTGGAGGGCAGTATCAATGATCCCGGTGGAGATGTGTATTGACCAAGCCTCATAATTCGTTTTCAATATTATTTCTAAGGCTCTGGTTTAATAAAATAATATGAGCATGTAAAGCAAAGATATATGAACTATGTATGACTCTTCTTTTGAACATCCTGGTAATTTCATTAGCAACATGAACTCACTTTAGGAAGGTACCATGTTAATTTAAAAACATGTCCTATTGGAATGTGATTTTTGCAGAGGAACAACCCTGCCTTTAAGGTAAATGCATCTTTTTCCATAAGCAGGAGCAGATTCTGTGTTGCCAGTGGCCTTGTGGGCCATTAAGCAGCATGGAGAAGCAAAGCATTTGACTCAAGATTCTGGGGATGAGCCGGCAAATGTGATGGGGTATGACTTAGCTTTACAGCTTGTCCTCTAGTCTGAGTGTCCTTATGCCTTTCCAAAGTTTATTTCTCTACAGTGTCTTTCATTTCCTACCAGTTATTCCATCTGTTAAACCTAGTGTTTTTCTGTGGATCCTCCTCCTATGGTAGTGTGCAAAATAAGCCCATGCACAGAAATCAAAGACTAGACTTAGGTCTTCTTCAAACAGAAAGATGAGAGTAGACTTATTAGTCTGAGAATTAGTGCCCCACAAAATGCTTTCTAGACTGGGGAGGGCTTTCTGAAAAGTTGATTGACCCTCCTTCAACAGTTTTCAGCCTTCACAAGGAATCCTGGACCTGTCCAATATCTACAGAGTGAAGGATGCCTGCACTAGAGATCCAGGCCATCCCAACCAGTTTCCTTTCATCAATACCTGGTATAGTCTGGCCCTCTACCCACAAGACAGGGTTCAATTCTATGCCTCTTGGGTATTCATTACAGTCTTTATCTCTAATAGAGTTCCAACCACCAAAAGGCCACCTTTCTTCCAGGCAGGGGATCAAGATTTGAAACTTTCACCATCTACCCCTCCTCTTGAGTGCGGCCATCCCGAATCTAGAACCAAAAGCTCCAGTGTCTGCTTTATATCCTGACTTGCCATCTCATTGCTCAATCTATAGCTGGTATTGGCCCTTTGTCCACAGACCACTAGAAGGCATCTCCCACCTCAGTATGCTTAAGGTCCTGGTTTCTTCAAGGCTTCCCAGTGCCCAGCCATTGAGTGCTCTATTCCTGTTGTGCTGAACTCTGTAGCCAGTTAACCCCCATGAGGACAGGATTCTCAGTCCAGACCCAGTTCCATATGTTTATCAGCCATTCACTACTGCTGATCTCCTGAACTAGTGGCATCACACCCCACCATACTTAGAGCAGGACACAAGTTATAATCAACCTTGTGACTGCCATTATGCACAGCCACCAGCTTACTTGGGACTACTTCCATCAACTCCTGACTGACCTTTTTATCTCCAGATAAAGAGTATATGGTCTATTAGGCAGCGCCTGCCTGGCTGATCACTCAAGCATCCCAAACACTAGTAATCTGAAGTGATTTGCTGACACCTTCCTTCCTGATGAGTGTCCCAAATGCAACCCTAACACACCAGTGGTCCTCCAAGCCCTTCTAAAAATGATGAAAGTCATGCTGGAAGAGTTCAGAATCAAGAATGTGGAGTCACAATCAAACAGGAGAAGTCACCCGGTGCTCTGATGAATCCCCAAATCAACTCTATGACCAGCTCTTGACACTTAAAGACAGTACACCCCTTTTGACCCAGAGGCCATTGTACTCTGGACAATGGTCAATACAGCTTTTTCCCAACAGCTGGCACCAGATGGTCCCTGGAAGCTCCAAAATCTAGACAGGTTCACAGGAATGAATACTGAGCCACTTATAGACATCCCCATACTTTGATGGTTGCTAACTGGGAAGAGGCTGCAAAAAACAAAAAAAAAAAAGAAAGAAAGAAAAAAAGAAAAGGAAAGGAAAGGAAAATTACTTAGAATAAAACACAAAAATGATGGTGCTCACATTAGAAACTAGAGAAAATTCAGACACCCAGAAGCCCAAATGAAAGGAAGATAACCAGGGGCCATTAGGCAGGGACCAATGTGCCTATTGCAAAGAAGAAGGGCACTAGAAGAATGAATGATGGCCTTCACTGGCACTAATGCCATGGGTGCAGCTGTGCTCAGGATTCAACATGCCCACATAGTCAGATGTCCAACCAAATTAAGGAGGACCCCAGTCTAGCCTATCACAGTATAGTTGCCCAGCAGAGGCAGTAAGACTCCCTGGAAGCCATGGTCTTACAAAATCATAGAGGGCTAGAGCTAACTGCAGCTTTGAAAGGGTGGCATCCGCATCTTCTTGGAAGAAAAATGTTGTTTCTGTGCAAATCAATCGGGGATAGTAAAACTATTATTAAGCAATTGCTAGATAACATAGATTGCTAGATAATTGTTAGAATAAATCAAGCCTAAAGACAAAACCAAAAAATCTTATTGATTGAGGTGAGACCTGTGCTTCCTGGAACCCCTGGCTGGCCTCCCCAGTAGAACCTTTGATTATTATTCTCCTGGCTCTAGTGTTTGAGCCACACCTTGGAAATCTTCTAACTTGTATCGCCAGAAACAGTATAGAAGCAGTTAGACTCCAGTTCTTCCACCAGTAATTAGAGGATTCCTTTAGAAGGGTCATAAGGGATTTTTGACAAAGAAGAGGAGGGAATATGGTGGAAGCCCCCCAAAGTGCCACTTATTACTCAAAGAAGATTCTCCAGTGCTGAGAAAGTTCCCCTGAGCTGACCCTGCTCCATTTGCAGTATCTTCAAGGGTGATATACATTGAAGAGGTGATGTAATGATTTTTTTTTTTTTTGGTTTTTCAAGACAGGGTTTCTCTGTGGCTTTGGAAGCTGTCCTGGAACTAGGTCTTGTAGACCAGGCTGGTCTCGCACCCACAGAGATCCCGCGGGCTGGGATTAAAGGCATGTGCCACCACCGCCCGGCTGATGTAATGAGATTTGAATCCTGATAAGCCACTATCATTTACAGCCACATACATGCTTTTGTACTTATACTTCCTCCTGTTTGCTGGATTCTCATCTCCCAAATATATAAAGGGTGGCTGAACCTGAGGCAAGAGGCGTACTCCATTACATGTTGCTATAATAAACCTTCCTCTCCCCAACTGAAAATAGCTTGATGATTCAATTTCCCAGAAATTTCTGCAACCGTTGGTTAACCATATGAAGGTTAAAAGCAATTGGCTCTTTTTCTGATAGCAGACATGAAAATTAAGTCAAGATGAACAAAAACAAAAATAAAAAAACTTAATCTTTATTGTAACACGACAAATAAAAGACCCAGAGTCAGATAATGGGGTTTAAGTTTCAGGCTGAAGATCAGAAAAGCAAAGCAGCCAGCCACTAGCTAGCTCTTACCTCTATCTCAGCTCAGACCAAATGGGTGATTCTCAAACTGCTCTAGACTTCACTGCTCCTCAGATTCACTCAGACTGCTATGCTCTCCTCCATAAGGTTAGAGACTCAATTCTTCCTATCCTCAATGTGGTTGGAGAATGAATGCCAGATCTGAGACCCTGCTCCTGTTTTAAATATCTCTCATGAGTCTTGGGATTAAAGGCACGTGATCCCAAGTATTGAGATCATCTTTGTGAGAGCTGTTTCTCTGTAGGACTGAATATATTTCTTTTTCTTTTTTTTTCTTTTGGTTTTGTCGAGACAAGGTTCCTCTGTATTGCTTTGGAGGTTGTCCTGGAACTCGCTCTGTAGACCAGGCTGGCCTCAAACTCACAGAGATATGCCTGCCTCTACCTCCCGAGTGCTGGGATTAAAGGCATGTGCCACCAATGCCTGGCTTCTACAGTTTGTGGCTGACTTTGCTTTCTGAATCCTCAGGCAAGCTTTATTAAATCATAAGTGATATATCACTACACCTAACAGTTATTGTAGGTGAATATCTTATTTCATTTATTTATTTCATTGAAATAGATTCTTCTTGCCCAAGACCAAAATGGCTGGGAAACTCTTTGCCTTCCTCAAGAATGCCTGGATGAAGGAACCAGTGCTGGTGGCATCCTATATCAGGGCCTTTCTATAATTATGCCCATTGTCAGCCCTGACACAAAGTATGCCATCTTGATCAACAAGGCCATAACATGCAACTACTCAGTGCCTGATGGGAACATGCCCGATATGCCCAGCCACGCCCAGGACTCTTGGGGCTCGAGACTGGAATGGTTGAATCATATGTGAATACACCTGCTGATGGAAGAGACCCCCTTCCTTGTTGCTCCCCAATACAAATGTGCAAACCAGCTCCCCTCAAAATGAAAAGAAACAGACTCTTCTCTCACAAAATACATCCCAACCACAGTCTCCACTCCTCCCCTCTCCTCTATCTCCCCTCTCCCCCAGATCCACTCCCACTCTATCTCCCATAAAGAAAGAACAGATCTCCAAGAGACAACAACAAAACATAATACCATAAGAAAAGGTAAATGCCCTCGCACTGAAGCTGGACAAGGCAACCAAGAAGGAGGAAGGAACTCATATGAAAATATTTTAAATTTTTAAAAATTTATTGCCAGCTGGTGGCACACGCCTTTAATCCCAGCACTTGGGAGGCAGAGGCAGGTGGATCAATGAGTTTGAGGCCAGCCTGGTCTATAGAGTTCCAGGATGGCTGGGACCTCACACAGAAACCCCGTCTCCAAAAACCAAAAAAAGAAAATTATGGTTTCTGTGTATGGGTGTTTTGCCTGCTTGTATCTGTATGTACCAAATGTGTGCCTGGTATCTTCCAAAGAGGCCAGAAGAGGGCACCAAATCCCTTTAGGCCTTATAGTGTAGGGGAATAATTTCATGATTCACAGTAATGGTAGTTTTCTTTAAAACACATGGAGGTGAATACTCACCCAGCATACAGAACTACAAATTGGCTGGCGATATAGTTCAGTGGCAGAGTGCAGTGTAAAAACCCCAAGTTTGATCTTTAGTGGTGAAAAAGTAATAAAAAGCCAGCAAGAAGCACTACAAATCAAGAATTGATCTGTCAAGTTCATACAATTAAGTCCTAATTGTAAAGTGAGCAAGGAAAA